ATATTCTTGCTAACTTACCCATTGGCATAGAAATTTTCGTTTTCGTTCTGGGTTCATACATACTTGGAAGTTGTGCAGGCAGTCATAGCCTGCTTTTCTCTCTCTGTAAAGCTTTCATAATCCTTATTATGCTGCCAATTATTGGTGACTGGCCTTGCAGTAACAGATATCTTCTATGGTTTGTTCATAGATATCAGAAAGTGACGAATTGCTTTTCAATAGGATTATCTAAGGGTGGTCCTTAACGTACAATGCAACAAGATTATTACCTAAAGTTTCGTAATTTAAATTCAGGTATAATTGTGGTCCGTAATAGAAAATAATTTTAGACCTACCTGTGTATAATATTCTCTGGTTTGGTATACTACTTAGTTTAAGTTTATTAGTAATGATTCTTATTTCGTGTGTAATACAGCGTGTGTTAAATCCTGTGCGCATTATGCAAAATATGTGCGAGTCTAGTGTATCTCAGGAGATGCTCCCGGCCAAATGTAGAACACACTATTCTATTGAGACTAAGGAAATTATAAACAATGTTTATTTGACTCTCATTAAACGTGGTGCCAGAACTACCTTGTGTACTGAAGTGTATTCAAAACATGGGTTTTAGATTTAAAAAAATTGACAAAAGGCAAGCTTTAATGGAATCTTTTAGAATTCGGAAATGGTGACTGGAATATCTAGAAAAAAATTGGATTTACAGAGAACAACAAAGGCCAATTATTTACTTGGATGAAATCTGGTTCGACACTTATGATACCCCGGAAAGGGGTTGGGTTGACTCAACTGATAAGTGTAAAACAAACGCGCCATCAAAAAGAGGTTAAAGAATAATTATTTTGCATGCTGGCTCTAAAGATGGTTGGATTCCAAATGGACTTTCTCTGTCTGCGAGAAATATTAAAGATAAAGAAACGTTCCTCCTAATAGCGTCATTGTAATGGACAATGCAAGTTATCACAATATCCAAAACTATATGTATAATAACGACATTTATTTTCACGAAGATTATTCCAAAAAGCAATTAACTGAGGATCTACAAACTTGAACCGACAAGCGGAATACGTCTGTGATAATTATGCAAAAAATCTAGGGCATACAGTTTTAAGGCTTCCACCTTACCACTGTATATTTAATCCCATCGAACATGTTTGGCACCCACTGAAATCTTCGTTGTAACAATGTTTTTCTCCGTGTTAACTCCAATGTCCTCAAACTTATGGAAACCGCAGTTTTTTAACATCTCTCCATAAAGTTGGGCCAATTCTGTTAAACATATAGAAAAAGCAGAACAATTGTATATCCATATTGCAAATAATATAGAACAAATAATAATTAGGACAGGCGATGATAGCGATAGTGATGCTGATATATTATGTGAATAATTTTAAGTAATTTAAGTAGGTAAACAAAATATTATTTAGTATCTTTCCTAACAAAACCCCGAATAATTAAATTCTAAGCAAAGTACGGGTCTGTTCGGCCATATTTCATTCTTACAGCTTGCCCGGGTCTTTCCTTAATTCGTATCAGTTAGTCACTTTGTTATATCTATGAACAGACTTTATACAGATAAGTATATCAGTAGGACCTCTGCTCTGCTAGCCTTTGCATGATACTCAGTACGCTATCATTGGTGTCACTACTGTTAACTACAGCTAAAGTGACATTTTTGAGTTTGAATCCGAATCCCAGGGCACCTTGCTAGCACAACTGCCGCCAAGCAAGCAACCCTTTGGTCGAATGTGCTTCCTTGAAAAAGTGTACTCAGTGTACTACTAGCAGTTTCAGTCCTGTGAGCCTGTTAGTAAATGGAAATCGTTGTCTTCGGGTTAACCATAAGTTGCTCATTTTGCATGTCCCAAGGATTGGAAGCCTTTCGCAGACAGCTTTTGAAGTAGGTCAAGTATGTCGTTAAACCGAAGAAAGATTTCTAATCACAGTTTTCGCCTGCATACCAATGGAAAGGCCAAGGATATGTCAATTTTTTTGGTGGGATATTATCTTTTACCCAATTCGGGATCGGGTTTGACCATCCATAAACTGATTAAATAAATGGAAAAACGGGCTGTACATTTACGTTTCATCAAACTTGTTTTATTTCTACTTAATTATTCAGAGAGGAGGTACCGGATGGTAGCATTATTGGATGACGCGTATATTTAAAAAAAGCACTTTGGAAATATACCGCTGGACAGATAGGGTGCTTTCATTTTCACGTAACAACCTCCTCATTTTAAGTAGAACACCCTATATATTAAGGTACTTTTCGATTCCTCGAAGCTGTCTACACATATTTCATATCCCATGAACTTCTAAAATATGGAACAAAAATTGCTAAATTGATTTGATTTTGAATCGTTTAGGAAAATAATTAAAATTATTGGAAAAAATGACATTATAAACTTTTTCTTCATCAGGACCTGCTTCGATAGTACCGCATAATTTTTGTTTTTTTTTTAAGTAAGGGTACTTTACTCTTGTGCGATTTTTGTATTTTTTGTTGTACCCTGTATGATGTCTGACTTGCCAATATTTAATTATTGTTATTTAATTATTTATTATTTATCTGAAGAGTATAAGTGAATTCGAAAGTTTATGTTCTGTAGTAAAAAATAAGTGTATTAAAAAATATATCCGGGTCTAATTGTTTGTCATTATTTAATTAGAAATAAACAATTCAAACATTTTAGTGCATCCACAAACGACAGAGAAAACCACTCGTGGTTTTCGGTACCTGTTGCGTTGGACACTTTCTAATCACCTGCGTTCAGGTTTGGCAATCACAGAGTACTTAATGCACAGACATTAAGTTCCCGTTTGTGGTTTTTCACTAAATACCGACGTGACACTTTTGAGGATTAAAAAATGTATTTGAAGGAGACCTTTAAATTTCCAGAAATTATCCAGTTAAGAAGGAAATTTACAGTTCTAAAATAGTGCTCAAAATAATATATAATTAGATGAAGAGATAGTTATTTCTACACTACACTAAAGTCGGATTATTGTTTGTAAAATAATAATAAAATAATCATTTTTGGAGCTTGACTTACGTTGTAGTTGTAGCTTAGACTTTTGCATTACATAAAATCAAAAGAGACATACAGTAGTTAAAATGGTGAAAAATGATCGTCAATCGAGGATTGATTCAAGGATTTGATTTAAAATCTTTGATACTTCAGTAAAAAAATAAAAATAAATTATTTTCAGAAATCTTTTGCAAATTATGAAGGTCAAAAGAGGCACACAATAGCAAAAATGGTGAAAAAGCATTAATTAAGGATTTGATTTAAAATATTTGACACTTTTCGACAACACCGTGTCTTTATCAAATGTAATATTTACAAACTACCTGCTACTATATATACCGAAATGACCAGAAAACCTTAATTAATGTTGTTGTGAATTTAAGTTCAATAAAGGAGAATTATTTAAATCTAATTGATCGTTAAGCAATACATTTGAATGTCTCATTTTGTGAATCTCCATGGCTTCCAATAAATTTATTTTTCTACTTTTTGTGGCTATATGTAAAATATCAAAATTGTCGTCAAAAATGTGTTTTTCTGTGTTTAAGTGTGTAGCATAATTAGAATCTAGACCATTGTTTTTAAACGCTCTTTTATATAAATATAAATTTTAGGACAAGATCCGCATTTCAACCTGTAGACACCTGATTTTTGAGATTTTGGACATTTCGTTTTATTGTTTTTTAAATATTTTCCTATTGTGTTGTTAGTTCTGAAAGCTATTTTTAAACCAAACTTGTACAAATGTTTCGAAACTTTTTCACTAGGTTCTCCTATCTATGTAATTGTTTTAAATTGTTTGTATTCTGTATTAGGTTTCGGATAAATAGAGTTTACTGTTGTCTGGATTGGTTTTTTATTTATAATTTTTCTATAATGGACGGATGGTAGCCGTTGTTCAATGCAATTTGTTTAATGATATTAAGCTCTTTGTTGTAATTTTCTGTTGCGAGTGGCGTATTAAGAAGCCTGTGTACAAAAGAGTGAAATGCAGCATGTGTGCATAAGGGTGATTTGAGATGTTATGTATGACTGTGTCCGTGTGTGAAGGTTTATGATAAATGGGAAAATCTAATTTGGGAAATAAGTCTTGTACATCAAAAGTCTTTTGATGCACAAAACGTATTTCCCAGTATTGAAGGTTGAACCTTTTAACATTTACCCCCTGTGTATCTCAAGGCTGAACAATTAAAAGAAACCGTTATACAAGGTGAGACAACGATAAAGTAAGATAAATACAAAAAACAATATATTTTAAAGTACACAGTGTGGATCAAATTTTGTTTTGAATTCGTTTTGAAATTCCTCTACTTTTTTGTTAATATTAATAATTACCATAATAATATTTCCAATATTTTAATTTTTATAAAAAAATACTAGTTTTCACCCAATTGCCATAGCGGCATTTTTTTTGGAAGGTAGATAACTGATTATTATTATTATTATTAGTATTGGTATTATTATTATTATTATTAGTATTAGTATGCAAATGTCAAATATCAATTATGCAATTATAACCTCACTTTTCAGTTGTTTGTTTATTTCTTATGTAAAGAAGTGTACCCATTTTTCTATAAATATCTTGATTATTTATTTAATTAAACTAATATTGGCTTTTAAAATTCATATTTATAGGTATTTCACGGTTGAATTGTTATAACAAGGTGTCTTTTTCATAAATCTGAAGTAACCAATATTTAAAGTGTTACAAATAAAGTAACCACGAAGTTTTGAGATGCTACATTATAAAATTTAAAGTGTTTTGGTGCTTACTGAACTACAAAAACCGTTATAAAAACTTTGGTTTCTTATTACCCTATAATAAAACTTCAAATTTAAGTTTCGGATACGAATAAACCGTCCGCTGAAACGAACTATTTTTGTTGAATAGCCCGCGATAAGATGACGCGTATAAAAAAATAAAAATCCGCGTAATTGTTTAAAAACGCGCGCTAACGCAAATAAACTCACCACGATCAGATTTCGATGCGAACATCGCAGAAAAAATCAAACAGCACATCCAGGAGGCGTATTTGGTATCCATGGCGCACTACATAAATAAACTTAACAACAAACTTGACACATTACGCGCACATTTCGAATCCTAGACGGCCTCGGCATCGGCCTCGTTCGCTTCCACGTCTATTGGAAGAATGAAATCAGGGGACACGTTCTTCACGAGAGAGGAACATTCGGAAACGGGCACTTGTCAATCCGTCTTACGTTAAACTTGAGCACCGAAACGTTGGTTCTACTGTTGGTTGATATGGACGTGATAGATGTTGCGTTGGTAACATATTTCGCAGATCTTTATTGTTAATCATTTGTTGCATGATTTTTTAATTTTGTTTAAACAAAAACAGCCTTCATCTAAACAGATTCAAAAATTTTGAAAAAATACTCAAAAAAAATCTAGTAATTAGATTTAATTTATTATTTTGGGAAACATTTTGTCGGACCTTATAAAACAAAATATGGAAATATCAAAACGATACAAAATACAAATAATTTTTTTTTAACAATTTCTATGTTTCAAAAATAAAATCTTTTAACAAAAATTAAAATCGTAAGGCATTATCATAAGGGAGTTCCCATAAAAATGAAAATTCCAATCACAAGTAAATTTCAAAAATAAAGGTTTAAAATTTGAATAATTTTAGCTGCTCTTAGAGACTGAAAAGGGGTGATGCGGCCTTCATAAAAGGACAACCATACAATTTACCCAAAGTTATGATATATTTATCATATATTAAAAATGAGGAGGATTTTTCTCAAGGTTGTCAAATGGTTGGTATATCCACGCTTGGATTGCTGAAGATGTTTTCATTGTTTCTAGTGAAAACTGCTTCTTTAAATTGTGAACGACCCGCGCTCTGGACCATTGGATGTTGTGTTGTTTGGTTCGCACATGTTCTGCGATACTTTTTGCGTTTCACCCTTCATTGTATGTTTCTTATGTTCTTCAACTCTTATTTTTAGAGGTCGTTTGGTTTCGCCAATATATGACTCACCGCATTCACGGGGTATCTGGTAGATACACTCTTTCTCTTGAGTCAAAGTTTCAGGCTTTGTTTTTGTGAGTACACAATGTTGATCCAGATTTAAATACAATTTTAACTTGATATTGTTTAGCTATTCGCCTAATCTTTTCTGATATTCCTTTCACGGATGTCATCGTCAAGAGAGAAAGAGTATCTACCTCACATGGTTCCGGTGTTGTTTCCCGCTTACAGTTTGTTATTATTTTGTTTATGGATTTTTCGGAGTAACCGTTCTGAAGCAAATCCTTTTTAATATTATTCAATTCGGCATCTAGAGATGCTTGGTCGCTACATATTGTGATTGCTCTTTTGCACAGTGTTTTAATTATTCCTAGTTTGGTTGCTTCAGAATGGTTGGACTCAAAATTTAGATACTGTGCTGTGTGGGTAGGTTTCCTATATAAAGACGTGTTAATAGAACCATTATTTCTACTTACTAGGACGTCTAGAAACGGTAGACAGCCGTTCTTTTCTTTCTCAATAGTAAATTTAATTGATGTTCGCAAAGAATTAAGTTCATTGAGAAAAGAGTCTAGCTGTCTATCGGTTCCACTCCAGAAATTAATGTATCGTCAACATATCGAAGCCAGATCTTAGGTTTGATAGTTGCAGTGTTTATGGCATGAGTTTCAAACCACTTCATGTTGTTCACAGAGAGCAGCATTGGAGAAAGCGCAAATTTAAAGAAGCAGTTTTCATTAGAAACAATGAAAACATCTTCAGCAATCCAAGCTTGAATATACCAACAATTTGGCAACCTCTAATAAGGCGCACCAATGCTGGCGTTCTAGTTGAACAACTTCAAGCTTGACTACATCCGACTCCGCCATGGATGAGCGCCGTCCCCTAGTGTATAAATTTTGTAGCCTTGGAATTAAGTTTAGTTTACACTTGATAACGGGTAGTGATACAACTGTCCGAAACGTTGTGTAAGTTCAAAATAAAGACAATTTAAGTTCGACATCCTTTTAGTATAAATAGTATTGTATAGTCTCTCAATCTTCAGCGCGTTAGCTTTCGATGGACCCTCTTAATAAAATTATTCTTACTTGAGTGACAAGGCAGGGGTGGACTAGGTATATTTCTTTCTTTCTGATATATTTCTTGTTGTTGACCATTTGTTGCGAAACAGGTTGTGAAAAATGTGTTTGAAACTGTAATCAACGAAACTTTATTCGACAAGAAGTTTTAAAAGGGACATGTCTACTTACAACAACGTCAATATCGTCGAAAAGGGCTATTATGCTATTATTAATAGTATAGTATAGTATAGACAATAGAAAAATTCAGTACAGCACATTATAAAAATTGGGAACTCTTAAATTTCTATGCAAAACATCATAAATACTATTATAATTATTCTCATGACGACTCAGAGAGTGATTATTAGATTTAGACATTTAGAATAAAAATGTAAGTATGTATAAATATTCCTGGCTATGAATTTATTGTATATATTTGATATATTTGTTATTTTTTAGTGTAATTTATTAAGATTATACCCACCTAAATAAAAATATATATGTATTATTACGAAAACCTTTGAGAATCCAACCCTAACGTTCTGCCCTTTAATACCCATCGGACCCGGAGTTTTGTTGCCCTCGGCAGGTAACTTCCATAATTGAGGGCAGAAGCACAATGAATACGATTGCATTACTAGCTGTTAAACAAGGATCATCTGCCTACGATCAAAATTTAATACTTAGGAGTCATTCAGTAGTAAAAATTAAAATTAATTTCTTGATACACTCAATTTTTTTACGAAATTACAAAAGTTTAATTGACGATACTCAAATTTTGATATTACCATTATATATATATATATATATATATATATATATATATATATATATATATATATATATATATATATATATATATATATATATATATATATATATATATATATATATATATATATATATATATATATTGATTCACGGATGGAAAAATGTGATGACACTATACTCCGGGATATCATCCGTTCGCTCGTTGAACTCCGACTGGACACTTCGAACACTGTTTTCGGAGCGCGAGCATTGAAGATGCCAAGTGAGATTTTGGCGAAACGTCTGCAGGATTCCAGTCGGATGCAGGATTTGCAGGATTCCAGTCGGAGTTCAACGAGCGAACGGATGATATCCCGGAGTATAGTGTCATCATATATATATATATATATATATATATATATATATATATATATATATATATATATATATATATATATATATATATATATATATATATATATATATATATATATATATATATATATATATATATATATATATATATATATATATATATATATATATATATATATACATATATATATATATATATATATATATATATATATATATATATATATATATATATATATATATATATATATATATATATATATATATATATATATATATATATATATATATATATATATATATATATATATATATATATATATATTTATATATATATATATATATATATATATATATATATATATATATATATATATATATATATATATATATATATATATATATATATATATATATATATATATATATATATATATATATATATATATATATATATATATATATATATATATATATATATATATATATATATATATATATATATATATATATATATATATATATATATATATATAGATAAATAATTGAATTTAGTTCACTTTTTGTCAATATCAAAAATGACCTATTTCCAGAAGACGTCAATGCTATCGTTCTTTTTTGTTGGATTTTGACATGATTTTAAAATTATTGGTTATTGTTATAAACAACTAATCGTTTTTGAGAATTTCAACAAATTGAATTTCAATATCAAAGTCAGTCGGAACTCTTCGCCGTGCTGCTATCGTGAGGGGAATTTACTAACGTCCGCCGTTATCTACGTCCCCAAAAGTATAGGCAACTAGCGAAACATCTGCGCCGATATGATTAGAATGTTTACGGAACGCCCAATGTGTATTTTTTTTCAATTTATCAAAATAAACGCGATTGAAGGGCCAGATAAAACAACTTGTCACCAATGCGATAACGTCAATCGCGACGACTGGCGTGTAGCATCTCGTTTTCAGAAATCGGAGGGAATTTGGTGCGTTTTATTCAACTATAACAGTAGGCGGGACAGCAAAGAAGTCTCCAATGCGCCGACCATACCGTTAGGTGGCGCGAAGTGAAATTTTAAGAATGATTTCCCAGAATTATCCGTGACTCGCTCTCTTGGTTATTAACGAGATGATTCATCGTAGTATTTCGCGACGTTCGTAGTATCCCGGAGGCATTTAACAAGGACGCGAGGCGAACTTTAAAGGAAGGGGGACTTTTCCACCGACTGGGAAAAGGATGTCACACCCTTGGCTTTAAAGGCACATCAACGAAGTAAATTATGGATAAAGTGCAAAATTCTCAGGAATTCGTTTAGATCCTGAACTGAATTGGTGTCGCCACACAGAGGAAGTGGCTAAAAAAATCTGGAAAAACATTTTTCTGATACGTAGCCTAAGGGCACTGTAGATTGTAACATGTTATTGACCGCATATCATGCTTTAATTGACTCCCACTTGCTTTATAGCCTGATGAACTTTGCCCAGGCTCCCTGTACATCAAGGGCCTACAAATTAGAATAACCTCAAACCTCAAATACTGAGAGAATGCTAAATCTAAATCTTAAAAATTTTACACTGGCAAGCGCTGACGGTACAGAAACTCATGAAGCAACTATGTAAATTTTTTTTAGAAGGTCCATTCAACGTGGGCATGCCCGAAATTTATTATTTCGTTTTTAGCCAATTAGCAAATTCTGGGGTAGGACCCATAAGGCCTCGTGGCTTTCTACAAACAACATGGCAGCTGACAGATCGTCGACGTTTGTAATTCTATTTGTGTTCTGTAATCAATTGGCGTTTATGTTCTTCAAGGCCTGTAGATGCAATTTCTACATGTATTTTTTATGTGAGTTATCTTTCTTTCCTAAATCGGCACAAAGCGTTAGTTTTTTCATAAACTCATTGAAATAACTTTGAGATGCTAGATACGGCACAGGAAACATCTAAGTA